ATACAGATCTAGCACATCATACGACATAAATAAAATTTTGTATCAATACAAAACCCCATCAAGCCAATTTTGTGTTAGTAATTATGTGTTAGTTTTAGGTCATCAATGTCCGGGTAATTTTTAAAATCTTATGTTTAAATTTATATTTGTAATTATTAGTTACATTGTATTTATTTAGGATACTTAACGATTATTTATTTATGTAATGGCATACGATTAGATGTTGTATACTTAATATATGGATGACTTTGGTTATTTTTGGAGATGATGAAAAAATTCCAATGCATAAATTTGATTTTATATAGCAACAATTTTTCATTTATTGGTAAATATATTGATTTATTTGATATAAATATAAAGATTTAATTTATATCAATTTCAGTTTGGCTAACATAATTTATCTATTGATGTATATATGGCATAAAGAGGTGTTGCAAGTATTAAGAAACGGACGAAAGATGTAAGTAAGGAGTAACATATCTAATCTTTGCGCATAGAAGAACATTGTTCATATTAAAAATAAATAAAAATAATATATATATATATATATATATATATATATATATATATATATATATATATATATATATATATATATATATATATATATATATATATATATATATATATTTCCTCTATTTTTTAATATTTGCAACAGTTTCCTAAAATGGAAATGATACAATACTTGCAACACATTATATGTAAAATTTTTTGTTTAAAGTTATACTATTATCCTTATTTTTAGGTTTATGGTCCACTAAATTATACTTTATCCGTATTTTATTACTTGCTCCATTTCTCCGAATAGGGAATTTTAGGAGGAATAGTAGAAAGTACTCCCTCCATTTCAAGTTAAAAATTTCCAAAAAAGAATGTGAAACAAGTAATATAATACGGCCGTAAAAGGAAAGTGGCATGGAACAAGTAATAAAGTAAGGAGGGAGTACTCCTAACTATCTCTCACCCCCATTTTAAGTGCACTAAATCATCTACCTGTATTAAATACTGTGAAATAGTGTGTGTTGCAAGTATTTTAAAGCGGAGGAAGTATAAGTACAAGTATGTATATAAAGTAAACAGATATATAGGTCAAACACAAAGAACATGTAATTCAAATCCAAAAAGACATACGTGTTCATTTTAGGAAAATTGAGAAAACAAATTAAAATATAACATTTATTACATTAATTTGCATGTGATTTTTTCATGAATTCCTAAATTAATACGGAGTCCAAATTAGCAAATATATTAAATGCTTATACTTATCCTTAAGAACTACGTCTAGAATTTATCCTTTAAACTTATTGTTATTTAAGAATGTTATTGGTCAAACATCTGTATTGACATACGTATTTAGTAGCTCTGTCAAATTTCAAACAGAATCCGTTTAACTGCCCAAAATCAACCGACCCAAATAAGTACCGAACCGATTAAAAACCAAAAATTTGAAACCGTAAAGCGACCCAAATCGTATTTGAGTAAACCCGAAACCAAACCGATCTGAATAATGTCAAACCGTATTAGAATCGAACCCGTTAGCAAACCGAACCAGTTCTAAACCGAACTGAAATCAAACCGAACCGAAAAAGAACCGAACCGTTTCTAACCCAAAACCGTTTCAAATTGAAACCGTTTGAACAGGGGTAAAAACCTTTTATACCGAACCGTTAACAAACCGCAACCTGTTTGCACCGAACCGCGTACAAAGCGAACCGTTTATAAACTGAACCACTTACAAACCGAACTGTTTTTTATAAACCAAACCTTTTATGAACCGAATTGCTTTATAAATCGAATCGTTTACAAACCATTTACTATAAAGGGAAGATTAAAATCACTTTAAAAGGAATTTTAAATGAAATCTAATTATCCACACATGTTTATTCTAATGGAGAAAATGACTTTAGATGATTCTTGTTTCGTTGTACTTGTGACTTTTGTCCATTTGCCATATCAGGTTGTTTTGAATTATTTCCAAATAAAATAATGTTAGTAATCTTGTAATCCATAACTTTTACTAATAAGTATTTAATTATGGGATGGTTAGATCTTAGAAGTTATATGTATTTATAATTGATTGAACGGATCAATGATACCTTGTTAAGTTTCTTTCACCATACAAATCAAACTACTTTGTAATATCTTAATAATTTTAAGTAAATATATAATGATAATTTTTCCATACTTAATCACAATATCAATTATCAAAATAACAGAAAGTAGTATGCTCATCTACTAGAAAAATGGTCTTTAGTATTAGATTCTAATCGATACTAAAGGTCTGCTTTCTGATACTAAAGGTCATTAGTTCTATAGTGTCTAAATTTACTGTTACAATATATATTCGGGGAAAGGTTTTCTTACTTTCTTTAAAAAATATATAAAAAGATTTCAAATTTGGGGAAAATATAGGCGGGAAGTTTGTGCAATGAAAATGAAGGTTTCAAATTATCTTAAAAAATTTTAATGTGGCTCTGACTAGCGCCAAGTTTGTGAAATAATTTGTTAGATGAATGGCTTTAGTATCAAAAGATTCAGAACATTTTGTTACTACAAGTGTGAATTTGTAACAAAATAAATTTTGTTAGTAAAAAATCTATTACGGTGTGTTTGGATTGAAGGAAATGGAGGGAAAGGAAGGGAAGAGAAATGGTGTGATGTGATATCTTTCATTTGGATAACAAATGAGGAAGAAAGGGAATTGGAAGGGAGAGAAATGGAGGGATTAAATTATAAGAAAATGATCCCTCTAACAATGGAGAGATTTGGATGGAAAACTCACCATTCTTCCCTCCCCTCCTCTTCTCCTCCCTCCCTCCTCTCTCCTCCCTCCCCTTATTTTCCTTCCTCTTTCTTTATCCAAACACACTGTTTGTTAGCTAGTGTCGGAACATTATTGATACTACGATGTTATAAGTATCATATCAAAAAAATTCCGACATCATAATAAAGTCAAATATCGAGTTTGAGTCAAAACTAAAGAAGTAGTGCCGGAAAAAAATTATTCGATACTATTGAATTTTTTAGTATCAGAAACAGTTATCAATACAAAATTTTCTGATACTAAAGACCTAGTGGAATTCAAATATCCACATAGTTATATAATCTAGAATTAATAATAATTATAAGGAAAATTAGATTAAAAAGAAGTACGGAATATATAATAACTTGATAATGAAACAATAATATATTAATAAACGATAAATTTTTATAATCTACTTCATAATAAACTAGCAAGATGAGTATGACTAAACTCGAAACATAACATGATATGTTTATATAGAATCAATGAGGAATTATATAATATGACGTCTAAAAATGAATTGATAAAGTCTCAGCGGAAAAGGTTAGAAATCACTATCAAATTTCAAACCAAAATCGTTTAACTGCCAGAAACCAACCGACCTAAATGAGGACCGAACTTATTTTTTAAAACCGACCCAAATGGTATTTTAGTAAACCCGAAACCAAACCGATCCGAATAATGTTGAACCGTATAAGAACAGAACCCGTTAACAAAACAAACCTGTTAACAAACCAAACCAGTTTTAAATCAAACTGAAATAAAACCGAACCGAAAAAGAATGAACTGTTTCTAACCCGAAACCGTTTGAACCGGGATAAAAACTTTACACCGAACCGTTAACAAACCGTAACCCATCTGCACCAAACCGTAAACTACCTGAAACGAATTAAAACTGTTCAAGAATAAATCAAAACCAAACCGATAATAATTTGAACTGAACCAAAATCGACTCGTAAGCCACTTGAATCGATTTCAAACCGACCCGATTTTAAAACGAACCGGTTTTAAATTGAACCGAAACCGAACTGTCAAACCGTTTTGATAGTGCTAGTATTGTTTGGTTCAATATTATTAAAGGAAAAAAAGAGAAACGATGGGAAGGGAAAAGAAAGGAAAAGATGGGAAAGGAAGGTGTTTTTATTTTCCAATATTTGGTTTATGAAAGGAAATGAATGGAAGAGAAAGAAAATTGATAAAGGATAACTTTTATTTTTATCTTTCTAATTGAATTCCTCCAATTTTAGGAGGAAAGGAAAGCTAAAAATTTGTAAAGGAACTTTCCTCTCACTTCCCTTCCTTTGACACTTTGTTTGGATTGAAGGAAATGGAGGGAAATGAAGGGAAGAGAAATCGAGAGATAGATAATCTCTCATTTGGATAACAAATGAGGAAAGAAGAGAATTGAAGGAGAAAGAAATAGAGGAATCAAATTGCAAAAAATTGATTTCTCCAACAATGGAGGATTTGGAAGGAAAACTCTTCATTCTTCCCTCACCTCCCCTTCTCCCCCCTCCCCTTCAGGAGTGGTTCTGAGCATGTGCAGGGTGGTCGATCGCACAGGGCCCTTAAGTGAAACTACTGTAAAAGGGCCCCGATTTTTGAATTTAGTAACATATTTTTCCTAAAAAAAAATAATTTTAAGGTCTAATTTAACAAAATTACACCGGGCCACTTTCAATGTTGGCATTTATAGCCCCGCCTTTGCTCCCCTTCTTTTCCTCCCCCCTAATCTATCCAAACACACTGCCATGTTATTAATTCAACCAAATATGGGAACATGATTAAAACTCTTTCCTTCTTTTCTTTTCCATCCAAATCCCTTCAACCAAAAAAAGACCTTAGTCACGTTGAATACCACAATAAATACGAGTAATACGAAGTATTTTGAAAGTTGATATTAAAAATACTAATATTATTGGTCAAACATTACATATGTATTTAGTCAAATTGAGACACTTAAAAAAAAACAAGAATAATACATCTATACATGAATACCAGCATACCGTGATGTATAGAATTCTCCGTAAGACGAAGTATTCTTACTCGTAACCATAATGAATACGGATTAATACAATCGTTTCAAAAGTAATTAGCACTACTAGAGTGACATGTGTCACATACGTAAGTACGTTTTGTTTGGGGTTTGACTAAAGAATTGAATTCTGGAATTATGTGTAGACGTATAACACAGCTTATACAGAGTGGAAGGAGTTATAAATTCCTTCCATTTCTCATTTCTGTCTTCATCTTTCTACTTCTTTCTCTCTGAATCTTCCCTATTTTTCATCCAAAACCAGAAGAAGCTACATACGTCATCCCTGTCGTCAGCTTTCTGCCATGGCTGCATCGTAAGAAAATTCTCTTATTTCTCATTTCTGTGAAATTGCATGCATCTTCTACATTTTATTTGTAATTTTGATTCAAATTTTTGTAAATTAATCCATAATTATGAACAAAAGTTTGTAAATTATTAATTATAAATTATTAATGGTGTTTTTAGAGGCGCTAAAGTTGCTCTTCCACCAACTCTTGATTCGAAATCGCCGCAACCTCCTCTTTTCGACGGAACCACTAGGTGCTTTTCTCTCTTGGTTTTTTATTTGATTTTGTTTTATATTATTTTCTTATTGGTGTTGATTTTGAAATTCTGGAGAATTTTTGTCATGCTCTTGATTTATTATTCTTAATTCATAGTATTATTAATTAATTAATTTCCATTGCACCTGTTAAACATAAATTAATTTTATATAATATCACAGTTTTCGCCTCTAATCATCATAAAAATGAACAAGAATCAAGAGGTTTCTCTAATTCTCTCTCGAATTTCTAAGAGTCCTAATTTTCTTAATAAGTTTTATATTGATTTGTTAAGAATGTTCTTTCGGATTGGGTTAAGCTGGTTTGAGTCAAATTTGGGTAAAGAATAATTAGTTTGATTTCGGTGTTAGCTTTGGCCAACATAGGTTTTGTGAGAGGTGTCAAAACCCGACCTGACCCGATACTGACCCGAAAAAATACGATTCAGACTTCGATTGACATGGAAATAATAATTTAGCATGATTCAAGTTTGTAATAGACCCGACCCGGACACCCGAATTGGCACCTCTAATCCCGTCCAATGATGACTGTACACTTTAGGTTTAGCCAATTTGGTTTGATGATATCAACTTCATAAGTTATGTTTTGAACTTCGATTTATCAGGTTGTACACTGCCTACACATGTCCTTATGCCCAGCGTGTCTGGATCGGCCTAAATTACAAGGTTTGATTTCCATATTCTTCCATTATTTTTTAAGGTCAAATTTAACTTCGCGATGATTTGTTAAGTTAAGTAGCCTGCTTCTCTGGATTCTTGTAACATTTGTTCTGCAACTTTACAGGGGTTGCAGGATAAAATCCAATTGGTTCCCATAAGTTTAGATGATAAACCAACATGGTATAAGGATGTTTACCCTCCTGCTAAGGTAAGTCGTCGCACTGATCAAGTCACAAAAGTCTATTTAATGGATTGCAGTGTACTGCTCGCTATCTTGCTTGAATTGCTGCAATGCTTAATTGATAAGTGCTTTCTTTGACAGAAGACAATAGTTATGCATAAAAGGGAATGATCACAGTCTAAAGTGATTAAACATTTCAGAATCCCTGCTTTATTGTTAACTCAGTATTGCTTTATGTGCTTTTAGTTTGTTAGATAATAGTATGCTGTTTATCAGTCCTAACAAAGTGAGGATTCGAGGGGCTGGAATATTATGACTGGCTAATTGAAATAAATAATCTTTGGTGCATATTCCGGGGTAAATGAAGCGTGATCTGTAAATTGTTTCCAAGTCGCAAACTCAACATGTTTCCTCACTGCAGAATTTGTGTTTTGTTTTTGTATCTTAGCCTTCTGGATGAGGGCTTATATGTATGTAGTATTCTTTTCTATCAAAGAAGATAATTTAGCATTATTATTCAATATAGGTTCCTGCTCTGGAGCACAACAATGAGGTGAAGGGAGAGAGCCTTGATTTGCTGAAATATCTTGATAGCCACTTTGAAGGACCTAAGCTTTTTCCTGATGTAAGCGAGCCTCTTTGCACATCATAGATTGTTGAAGTTCCAGTCCTAGCTTACCTTCTAATTGGGATTTCATGTAAATTAATGCATGCAGGATCCTGCTAAAAGAGAATTTGCAGAGGAAATATTGGCCTATGCTGGCACATTTGGTGGAGCTGTTCTCTCTCATCTCAAAGGGGGTCCTAACAGTGAAATGAGTACGGACTGAAGGCCTCCCTTTTTTTTCTCTACTTTTTTTTTTTTTTTAAAAAAAAGTTTCTCCATGTTTCCTAATGCGAAGAAATCCAATTGTTTATTTTGTTACCTTTGTAGTTGCTGCCCTTGACAAATTAGAAGAGGCTCTTGCTAAATTTGATGATGGGCCATTCTTCCTGGGCCAATTTAGTGCAGTAAGTAAACATAACAATACTCCCTTATGAGTTGAACATCATTTTGTGCTAGTCTTCGAGGATTTTATCTAATTGAACAAGTTGATTGATCTAGTGAATTGATTAAATATTATACGAAAATTGTTTATCATATGCTTTTATTTTCTGAAGTAGCATGCTATGATAGCTATCTGATTTAGCATTCTGAATGTGTTTTACTGTTGAGTTTGGATTTGACAATAGCTTGATCGTAATGTTAAATGTGAAATTTGACTATGCCTTTTCTTTAAGTTCAACAAGTTCAATACATAACAAGTTAAATTTAACATTTAATATTCAATCGTAATAACAAAATTTTAATACATAATATTACTATTTGTTTTTAATTTTATACAATTAAGGTTCACACATATATAAACATTGTATATTTTGTAAATTTTTTGTTTAAACAACAATACAAACCAATTGTTGAAGAAAAATAGAAAGAAAATAAAATATGTAAAGCTATATGTTTTTGTTAACCAACTTTTTTTTTCAAATTGTGTACACGGTATCTTTTAAGCTTCCATCATCCTTTATAAATCAATCGTTGATCATGCCAGCTAATAACCTACCCTTTGCAAAATTTAACATCCTTGCAAAATTAATAACACTTATGACTGACTTCTTAATTATGATCATTGTTCATCGTATTCAAGAATTTCATGGTGTTCAAAATTTAAATATGCTTCTTTGCCCGCAAAAGTTTTACGTTTATTTGTGTGGGACATTAGGTGAGTTTATATAGGATTGAAAAAATATTGAATTTAAAGTGATGATAAAGTTTATTATTAGATATGATAAATTTTGTTAACGTAGAACTTAATGTCTTAGCCGAATAAATGACGAACATTTTTTTTTTTTTGCTGGAAAAAGAGAAAAGATATACTTTTAGTTTCAATGATTTTTTCTTATTTTTTTTTTATCTAATCCAAAACTGATATTTTTTTTAATTGAATGTAATTTCATAATTTTTTTTTTTTTTTATAAAATATTTTATTATAATCACTTCTCATATTTCATTATTATTATTTTTTTTTATTTTTTTATCTAATTCAATTTTTTTTTTTTAATATCAATTGAATGTAGATTTCAATGTTTAAGTTTAATAATATATATTTTTTATATATATATATACAAAATAAAATAAATTTTTTCATTTATCTTAGATAAAATTTCCAATTTAAAAGATAATATTTTATTTTTATAATGAATTTAAACTTTTAATGTTAATCCTACGTGGTGCTTTAAAATAATAATCCTACGTGGCATAATCCTACACGTAACTCTCAATCCTACATGGCGCTCTAATAATTTAAAAAAAAAATTTAAAATCCTACATGGCTCTCTAAAAACTTTGGAAAAAACTCCCTTTATATATATATATTAGTTTTGTGTCCGGGCGATACTCAGATTGTTGATTAAATTTTAAATGTTAAATACGATCCTACAATCCCTTTTGATAATGATGTAGGATATTTAGACATACAATTTCATATTGCTTATTTAATTAAATAATAATGTACTTTTTGTAGTTTTATTTATAAATATCTATGTTATTATTGATTTGAAATTATTTTTATTGAACTTAAATTGTTTTATACTAATTCTCTATTATTTTTTTAAATAAATTAAATATATTATAAATGGATTTTATTTTAAAGAACTTTTTAAAACGAATTTTATGATGGAAATAGAATTGTTTTATATTAATTCTCTATCCAAAATTCACTTACTTAGTATCATATGTGTCACAATAATATATAATTTTTGCCTACGTTGCGCGACACTTAGTGAAAAACTGGAATGTCAAGTGTTACTGTCTGATAGCCCGGCTGCGAGACCGGCTTTATATATTAGTGAAATGATATTAGATTTGCAAAATTGATACTTGATGAATTTGACTGAAACTCTCATTTGTAAGTGTAATACAATAACACATTGAAGTTGAAGCTCAATAGTTGAGAGCTAATTGAACAAATGCATTTTCTCCTTAAATCTTGAAGTTTCCCATAGCTACAGCTTAAAATCACAAGACCTAAATTTAGCATTGTTCGTTAGACTGATAGAGTGTATTTTCTTTTGTATTTCTATAGCATCATTTTCATTGAGCTTCATGTCCCCAGGTTGACATAAATGCATTGATTAAGTTGCAATATTATTAGTTTGTAATTTTGTATGATACAGCATAATAATTGGACTGAGAAAGTAGTAGCTTACAGTGCTACAGGAACAGATCACGTTATCTGCTTTTAAATACTTTAGTATCTCAAAGTGCTACTCTGTATTCGGTAAGGATCAAGCTATTAATACAAACCAAATCTCATTTCAGGTGGATATTGCCTATGCTCCCTTTGTAGAAAGGTTCCAGCCACTGTTGTTAGAGTTGAAGAACTATGATATTACATCTGGGAGGCCTAAGTTAGGCACATGGATTGAGGTATGATCCTTGTTAAACTACATGATAATGAGGCAGCAATGATATGCCAATCGATTGAGCTTGCAAATGTGGAATTTATTTATTTAGTTCTAATGCGGAAGCGTACATACAGGAACTGAACAAATTGGACGCCTATAAAAAAAGCAAATGGGATATCAATGAACTCACCTCTGCCTTCAAGAGGCGTGTTTTGGTAAGGCATTAACCATTGAACTTCTTTAAGACCTAATTATTAGGCTGTTGTCTAAGGATTTTGAGACTTTCATTTTCTTAATTTGCTTCTGAGATGTCCTACAATCTTGCGTCCAGGGACTGTGAAGATCTCATTTTCTTGTTGGCTGAGATGCATTACCCGGCAGCTTTCTTCTTGAATAAAGCGAAGAGTTATTTGAAAAAACTTACCGGACTGACTGTAATAATCATGCTTTTTAACTTCCCTATGCTTCAGTTTAAATAGATATTGGATATGAAGTCATGTTTTTACTCTACAGTCCAACTAAACCTTCTATAATCAAACTATGGGGAAAAATGCTTGCATGTCAAAAACATGGATTTCATTACAGATCAGACACCATATTTATTATAAATAGGGATTTGTTTATTATCACTTCATATTGTTTTAAGGTTTATATGCATTACCAGATCATTCATACACCAAAATAAAGCCTAAAAATAACAGGGGGGCTTACAAATTAGCAGACTGACATAGGACTTCACGCAGTTTAAAAGTCTATGACATTGGACTTGGATTCACTTAGCTACTAGTAGTAACAGCAATCCTGTCCATAATATTAGCGACCTTATCCTTAGATTTCTTGAGCAACTCAACACTCTTGCTTAGCTTCTCTCTTTTTCCGGCAACAGCTGGTGACTCTTCCAAGCACTTCTCAATGCCGCTACCATGACCTGGACCACCAAACAGCTCATCAATAATTTCATCTTCGAGCTCTTTATCCACCAGATTATGAATACTCAGTAGCAAATGCAGTGCCATAAAATCCACCAACCTCCTCAGTACAATTTGCCAATAAGCTGTCACTCTCATTTTCATTTCAAAGGCTGGCTGCAGAATGTTTTCTAACTTTCGCAAATGATGAACTGCCACTTCCCCAATGCCTTCGATTTCCATCCTCAGTCTCCTTGTATCATTCACAGTTTTAGTGAATTCGGCTAGGTTTTCCATAAGATTGTTACACTTCACCATGTACTCGGGGCTGCAAGTATAATCAGCAACTTTTTCCATCTCTATTATCTCTTTCACTCTACTCAGTGATTGTCCCTTCATTTTCAGAATCATGTTCTGAGCAGCTCTCCTTGTTGAGGATGCTAGCTGGGGGTAATTCTCAGAGTGTTGTCCTAGAACAGAGAGGACAATAATCTCGACATAATCCCAAACTTTGCAAGCAAAATCTTCTGGTATTACTGATATCTGGTTGATCTTGTTTTGCATAATGTTGAGGAAAGCTGCACGAGGGACAAAGTTGGGGAGCCCGATCCCTTTCGCCTCCTCGAGAACTCGAATCTCTTCCACCAAAAAATTTTCATCCACATCATCATTATCAACCCTTTCTTTGTCCATTAGTTTACAGGAGAAGTCGTTGAGGAATTCTGCAAGACGAGCTGTGCAGTGCATTTCTTTGTCATCAGGGTACTCTTCATACTCTCCTCTGACAAGGATTTTCCTGAGAGACTCCTTGGATGACCCCAGTATCTTCATGAATGTGGCCATTGCTTCTGCATGAGAGGAGAGAGAGCTAGGGAGCTTATTCAGCTCAGCAATGCTAGAGTTAAGCTTGTCATTGATCTGCTTCACAATTCGTGGCAAGCACCTTGCGATGCTAGTTGCCTGGATTGCTGTGAGTTTCTCAGCAAGCACTGGAACCCCCACCATCGATTTTTCAATTCTCGAAAGCTGGGGATGAGACTGAAACAGGGAAGCTTCCTCTGCTCTAGCTTCTACGTAAGTCTCATCACCAATTCTATTCCTCACACAGACATAACCCAATCCGATTCGCACGTCATCAGTGGTGACCTTCTCAAGAAGCCCCTCGGGTGCTTTATCTGCCTTGGTGACTACTGCCAGAGTTCTCTCTCCTGATTTGTCCACCTTCTGTGACATCCGAATGGACTCACAAGTAGAGAAATCAACAGCAGCAGAAAGCACGTTCAGAATTATGCTCTCCTCTGGAGTAATATACTCCATTATGATATCGTGTATCTGCTCATATATATTTTCTGGCTGGCCTTGTACAGCCACCCGGGTAATACCAGGGAGATCAACCATAGTAAGGTCAGGCACACCATTCTTCTTGACTACAAGAGTCAATGGGGTGTGGGAGATTCCCTTCCCAGACCCAGCGATCTCCCACGTGGCAGATTCAATGGATTCTGCCACGTTTTGCTCATCTGTGTCAACAGACTTGTTGAGGTACTCCAGACACAGGTTTGGAGTAAGACTGGGGTGATGCTGAAGGCGCATGATCAAAGGTACCCTAGTGCAAATACCTTGACCTCGTGGGAGGTTAATGCCAGCAAGTGACTCGAGGACACTTGATTTGCCCGAGGATTGATCACCCACGACAACAATGGTGGGCAGTTGGATACCTTCCTTCATAATATTAAGGTGACGGAGGTCATCAATGGCGTCGAGGAGTGGTCGTATTTGGCTGTTGAAGGAGGAGATTAGTGGTGGGTACTTGGTTTGCAGGGGATGCTCATCAGAGTTGATTACTGTTAGTGTTTTGGTTTCTTCCATTTTTTTAACTTGGGAGGAAATACAATAATGAAAATGTGAGAGGAAGAATATTGAGATTTGGTTGAGGAATTATGGGTGTGAGTGGATGCTTAAATATAGCTCTTTTTGGTTTAAATTAAGGAAAAGGAGAGCCAGAAAGGTTGTGGAAATTGCAGTGAAGGCTGTAAAAGGCAGGACTAACTTTTATTATAAAACGACTATAATTGACTACGAGTCGTATTAAAGTCACTACAGTACTGTGTTTTGCTTACTCTTGAAGTTGTTAATTTTAGTGTGTTGGATGAAGTGTGATTTGCTTACCCTTAAAGTCGTTAGCTTTGTTCGGACACTATTTAAGGCTTTGCCTTAGCATACCCTTCTATTAAGGAAACGCTAAGTACTATACCCTTGGGTATATTTACTTACGGTGTATATATTAATTTCAAATTGGGTAGAATTGATGATAGAGAACTTCAATGGGATTAATGTATTGAATTTGAGAGTGTGATAAACTCAAACCGAAAATAGGCAGCAGCACACCGCAACTAGGCAGCACACCAAACCCAAACCAACAAGTGCAACATGCACTTGAATCAAACTAAACCAAACAGAAAAATAGGGTAAATATAAATCCTAAAATTAACCAAACCGAAACAGAAATTAGGGAAAAAGAACCCTAATCCCAACGATGATGATTAAAAAAATAATCAAAGAAATTTGAAGCTCTAATCTCACAAATTTGCGAAATAGAAAATGAAGCGGAAGAACAAACCAAGATTGAAGATTCTCTAGGAAAAATAGAGATGTTGTGATACCATGATAAACTCAAGAACAATTGGAGAAAATGGCTTAGCCTTTCATATTAATATTTATCACATATATATACACAATACAAAACAAGATCTAACTTGCCTAAAACTTCTAACAAGATAAACTTAACAAAGATACAATATTAACAAGTATAACCAAACCGATTCTGATAGAGTGAGGGATAGCTCAAGTGGTTAGAGGTTCCCTTCTGGTTTTAGAAGATCTTGGGATCGATTCTCACCCCCGCCCTTGTGGCTTTCTAAACAACAACAACAAAAAAAAAATGTATTGAACTTGAGACTTGGGAGATGGATTCTCATGATCATTTGTAGTATGGGACAAATTCAAAGAAATAACTTAAAAAAAGAAATTGGGGCTTAAATTAAAGGGATGGTATTATATATATATATATATATATATATATATATATATATATATATATATATATATATATATATATATATATATTTTTTAAACTATCAAGTATTTGCAACACTTTTATGGTGAAAATTATTTGACAGTCTCATGACTCGTGTAACATGAAATATCTTTTTTTTTTTTAATTTGAAATTGAGTGCTTGTATCCAACAAAGTAACTTATACAGTTATACTGCACTAGGAAATTTTGTGTAAATCTTCACTGAAACTTTAAGATTAAACAAAAGGAAACAATATTATGTTTATTTTACATGGATAGACCAATCAGTTTTGTTAACAAAATTATTGAATATTTCATACAATATTTAGTCAATATGTTTTTTGAATTACTTAAATTTATTGAATAACTTGTCTAAACTTATTTTACTCAGGTACTTATATATTAGATAGCCATTATTAATTCTTATTTAACCTTATTAACCATTTTAATAACTTATCTAAACTACTTTTCCTAATATAAGTGGAAGCTAGGTGAACAAAACTTAATCTGATTTAAGTAAATGACGGGGAAGTCAAGTGAACAATGATCATAACTAGATCCTAAGGTAGCAAAATCTCTTATTTTTTATGTTTAGACCCACACAAAAGGTATAATATTCTAGAATTGAATAGAGGCTTGGTGAAATAGAAATACTCTTCTATTCTCAAAAATTCGTCTCGCTTATTGTAGACTCTTCTTCCTAGGAATGAACGAAAAAAGTAATTCAATATAAGAAAATAACTAAATTAAGTATTTCCTCCGTTCTTTTTTTATCGCATCACTTTGACTTTTACACTATTCACTCTTCTTTGACCATCTTTTGTGATTTATTCGTAAAGAAAAACATAGTCATGTGGGATCTAGTTAGATTCATCTCGAAATCTACTTTCCAAATATTAATTTTTACAAAGGTATAATTAATGATATTAATAGCTAAAGTAATGCATTGGCAAACGTGAAATCTCCTATGACGCAATAAAAAAAGAACGGAGGAAGTAAGAGATTTGGGGTATTCCACCATGTGGGCCCAGCCGTCCCCATAAGTGGTCAAAGAAGCCCCATGTCAATGTCGTACCCGATACGTACACGAGCCGTACTCATACCCATACCCCGGTGTATTCGCATCAGGTACTTGAGACGACACTTAAGAGAAGTACCCTTGCTTCATAGCATATGACTCATAATAATAATATCTTTAGTCATCTCACAATTATCAATACAATAAATAACATACTCCAACATTTGGTGTGTGTGTGTTTTTTTTTTGGTCCAAAAGTACAACAACGAGTGCCTACTCTTCTTCAAGAGTCAAGCATCTCCTTCCTCGGGAATTTTCCGAGGTCGTCTACCCCTTCTTGCAGGTGGACTGGGACATCTTGGAGCTGACCTTGGCCTTCTTTGGTCCCTGCTTCTTTATTCCCCCTGATATTTCATTAATAAAATCAAGGCCCGTTTGGTAGGACGTAAAATGTTTTCCCTGAAAACTATTTTTCCCATTTTACATTGTTTGGTCAAACTGAAAATTAGAATGGAAAATTTAGGTTGTAAAATTGTTTTACACCACAGTTGAAAACATTTTACTCCAAAAATGAAAGGAAAACGTTTTCCTTTCTGTTCTCAAAAATCACAAAACTCATCCACTATACTTTCTCTCTCCTCTTAAACGCTCATCAACATTTTCTCTCTCCTCCCAAACACTCAATCTCTGATCTTCATTTTCGCTATCATCGCAAATCTCACTCATCAATCTCAACGAATTTGGTACATAATTTCTAATCTCTTTTATAATCAATTATTTTAGGGTTTTGTTCTGAAAAATTTGATTGTTTCTAGGGTATATATGCTGCAAGATTTGATTAATTTGTGTTATATTGTTTGATTAGTTTGTGCAAATTGTTTGATTTATTTTGTGCGAATTTGTTCGATTAGTTTTAGCACGAAATTGTTTGATTTATTTTATGCGAATTTATTCGATTAGTTTTAGTACGAAATTGTTTGATTAGTTTAGTTTTGTGCGAATTTGCTGCAAGATTTGATTAATTTGTGTTGTATTGTTTGATTAGTTTATGCAAAATTGCATTTTTGCAGCTTCAAATAAAGTGAAGTGATTGTAATCCTGGTTATGAATGGGGTTGGAAGTCAATGTTGCTTATAGTGGATTTGATTTACTGCAACCCAAACAACAGTCATATTAGGAACTTGGTTAAACCATCTTCCAACATAACGATTGGCAGAGTTTGGTGGGCTGAAAAAACCCAGCTCGAAAGTACCATTTCTTGATACTATAGATTGAGAATCCTGTAGGAATTGAGTGTTGGTGATGCTGTGGCTGCCAATGGCAGAGCAAAGCAACAAGCAAAAATAGTGTAGAAAGATAAAAAGTGAATACAGATGATATGATTGCTTAACTCTTGTTGGGGTTTCAATTAGGTTTTCAATGGGGTTGCTTATCTTTTTATTAGTAATCTTTTTAAAATTTTGATGAGCTTGTGATTTCCCATTTATTTCAGATTGACATTATCACAATCTATCATGGAGTCGAACAATGTTCAAAAGTCTCAGGTATTAATCCACCTTATGCAATAATAATTTGTCATATGTATGTGATTAAAGGAACTAAATTCCTTGATTTTCTTTTTATTTTTTAATCTTTGTAGATGATTCGTAAACGCATGATCATTGGTGTTGTTACCGCTATTATTGCTTCTGTCCTTGCTTTCCTTAATGTTAAAAAATCTAGGACTAAAAGACCTATAATAGTTAGGCAACCTTATGTTAATAGGGATAGCTTAAGGGAGGCTAATATCGATAGTGTTTTATATTGTGGTGATAGTCATTGTCTTGGACAGATTTGCATGAGGCCTAGTGCTTTTTTTAGCTTCTGTAATATCTTGGTAGAAAGGGGACTTTTGTCTGAAAGCAAACAAATGAGCGTTAAAGAGCAAGTACTTATTTTTTATATACTTTTTGGGTCATAATGTAAGATTAAGGGATGTTGGGGGGAGATTTTTCCGATCTACTTGGACTATACATTGCTATTTTCATATTGTGCTCCAAGCAATCCTTCGGTTGTACCCATATTTAGTGAATCCACCAGGAACTCATATGCAACGAGAAATTCAGAACAATCCTAGGTTTTTTCCTTGGTTTGAAGACTTCACAGGTGCTATAGATGGGACTCATGTACGTGCATCAGTTCCTATTGAGATGCAAGAGAGATTTCGAGGAAGAAAGGATAAGACAACACAAAATGTACTAGCGGCCGTAGACTTTGATCTAAAGTTTACTTATGGGCTTGCTAGCTGGGAAGGTTCTGCCCACGACTCAAGGGTTTTGGGTGATGCACTTAGAAAGGGATTTAAGGTTCCCGAAGGTAATATTAATCATTTTTCTCTTGTTGATAATAGTGGTCTAAATTTAACTTAAATTGATTAAAATATTGATAATAATTTATGGATGTAGGGAAATACTATCTTGCTGACGCTGGGTATGGGGACCGTAAAGGTTTTATGCCTCCATTTAGACGTGTTCGTTACCATTTGAAGGAGTATACTGACAATCCTCCCGAGAATGAACAAGAATTATTCAATCTTCGCCATTCTTCACTGAGGATGTGTATAGAGAGGGCGTTTGGGGTGTTAAAAAAGAGATTTCGCATCTTAGATGCTGAGCCTTTTTGGTCATATGAAACCCAAGTGGATGTGGTTCTTGCTTGTTGTGTGATACATAACTACCTAAGAGGTGTTGATCCCAATGATGCAATTACACGAGAGGCCGACTTGGAGGTTGAAACACATGAAATAATGAAATCGCTTACTTAAAAGGAAATTCGTGAGGAAACCAAAGAGTGTGTGAAAAAACGAAATTCTATAGCATTGGCCATGTGGAATGCATATAAGAAGCACCGAACTAATTGAAGTTGTAGAATGTTATTTCTTATTTAATAGATTGTAAACTATTTTGATAGACTCATGGTTCAAGTGAACATATTACTACATTGTCAGGAAAGGACACCGGCCAAATAATACTTTCAGGACTAGCTCCTTCATTGTTGCTGCAAAGATGATTTCTGAAAAGTTTCACACCACATGTACTGCTGACCATGTTGAGAATCATACGAGGACAGTGAGAACTACTTGGGGAGTTATCTCTCAAGTACGAGGAAGATCTGGGTTTGGTTGGGATGCTAATGTAAAGATGGTGAATGCTTCACCAAATGCTTATGAAGCTTATATTCAGGTTGATTGTTCATATGTTCTGCTTATTCTTTGTTTTTGGATTGACTGATTGCTCATTTACTTCCAATATGGTCATAATTCTTCAGTTATTGGACCTGCATTTTGTGAGATAATAAATTTGATAATAAAGCTAAAGAAAAGTTGACCTGCCTGTACGAGTTATTATGTATTCATGGAGTATTAATGTGATTAGCATACCATTTTTCTTTGTAAGCCTATGGAGAACCCTCCCTACCTAGGAACTGTCTTTGACCTCTCTGTACTCACATTTGTTAGTCTTCAATAGTTTCTGCTTGATTGATTTGGTCTGAACACCGCCTTTCCAATGTTAATTTTTTGGGTGGGTGTTCTTATTGTTGATCTTCACAATGCCGTTTTTATCCACTGTTATTCTTAAGAAACTTTGAATATGTAGGACATTGCAAGGGGAATTTTTTCCAAGACGTTTGGTGACATTCAAACTAATTCAAGTGGGCAGCCAAGTACTATTGAAGTCGAGCCTACTAAGTCAGACAGTGCAACTTCTTCGGAGCCTAGATATCATAAGAAGAGATGTCGAGCTGAAGAGGAAGAAGGTGACTTGCGTCACATTTCTACACAACTAGGAGAAGTAGTTAGTGCTCTCAAGAAGTTTTCGGACAATCAACTTGATGTCGAAAAATTGTATGGGGAGATCATGAAAATGGATGATGTTGATGAAGCTGTTCGTGTTGCTGCGTTTGACCACCTAGTTGAGCGTGAAATGCTAGCTAGGGCCTTCTTGACCAAGAGTGAAGCTCTTAGGAAGCTTTGGGTCCAAAATTTCGTTAAATCTCTACGTTAATTTTTTATTTCTTTTGTTCTACCAACTTTGTGATAATAATTATATGTCGATATTGACAAGTTTTAATCCTAGTAGCCTTTTATTATCGTGGTAATTGTTAGGACTCTTGTTGAACTTTTATAAAGTTTATAAAAAAGACTATTTGGTTTCTTTTGATTATTTTATATTATTATGTTTGAAGTAAAATATAGTATAATATATTGGGGAAGCTAATAATGAGTAAGAAAATATTTGAAAATAATAAAAGAAAAGAAAAGGAGTAAAAGAAATGACAAGAGAATACAATATGACGAGAGAATACAATTAGAATTGAAGTTTTCCATTAGTAAATAATTTTCAGTTCAACCAAATAATGGAAAATGCTTAAAATGGAAAATCATTTTCCATTCAACCAAACAACGGAAAACTTTTTTGAAAATGAGTTTTCCATTGTAAAATAATTTTCATGGAAAACCATTTTACATTGAAAATGTTTTACACCCTACCAAACGGATTGCATAGCGCCCTTCTAGTTCTTTGAAGTACTTGAGCGGTTGACGGAGGTGCATTCCTGCGTTGCTTCTTTCCGGCTCTTTCTTGCACTGAGTTAAGATTTGATCATTTGAACTGTTAAGGAATTGAAAGCTTAGGTTCTTTTTGAACTAGTTTTACTTTAGACATGGTTTTGAAACTTTTAAGTAGGTTCCTTTTGAAGCAAAATGTTGTTCATGCGTAGTGTGAAATTAACAATTTCTGCACTTAGGTTCTGGAATATGTTTTTAGTTCCTTGCAAATCATCACATGTGAACCAATTTTGACTTTGTGACTTGAACTTTCTCGTCATATATGATGATTGTGAAAGTTTGTAATTGTAGACCATATTTTGAAGTTTAATTTTAATGTTTATCTTTCATAATGATGAATCAAGGAACGAAGGGCTCTTGCTGCAATTTGTCAATGTTGACATCTTTGGATTTTGAATCTAGTTTCAAATATTAAAAGAAAACGCTTATGGATAATTATCCGTGTTTTATTCTGCTTAGTGCAAAAGGAAAAAAAAAAAACATTTGTTAAATTTGTTTATAATATACTTAGTAGCTATGACGTTAATAGTAAATCATTTAAGTAAAAGACAAAAAAATAAATCTGATGTTAATGACATCGCAAGGTTTATTGGGAGGGCTGAGGGGGCCGCTTAGACACTCCATAAGTAATCCAACTTAAATGTTCCTAGCTGGTACTTTGACTTGTATGATCAACATGTCACTCTTGATGAAAGGGGAAAAAGGAAAAGGATAATAACATAACTAAGAAGTATACTTATACTATTGACACCACGAAGTCCAAAGGGCAATCAATAAGCCAACTGTTTTTATCAATTTTGAATAAGATGACAATATATAATGAAGACTGTTGAGCCCATAAAAGAGAACACACATATGAGTGTAAGTGTTGTCCCACATTAATCGAGTGTATAAGTGAGAGTTTGTATTGAGATTTGTATCCCATATTGAAGAAAGTAAAAGATTGTGTCCACTTTATAAGGCTAAGGGGATACTCCCCTCATTACCAAATGTCGTATCAAGTGGACATTTATGACGGGTGTGGCCCAAACCTGTTTATCATGGTATCAGAGCCCAGGTTGGATTGAGTTGTGATCTGAGCTAGTATTATGGACAACTCAAATATGAGGGGGAGTGTTGAGCTCATGAAAAAACCCACATGTTAGTATAAGTGTTGTCCCACATTAATGGAGTGCATAAGTGAGAGTTTGTATTGGGATGTGTATCCCATATTAAAGAAAGTTGAACATTGTGTTCACTTTATAAGGCTAAGGGACTACTCCCCTCATTGCCATATGGTTTTGAGGTGGATCCTCCTTGGTCGTATAAAGTGGACACTTGTGGCGAGTGTGGCCAGCCCGTTTATCAAAGACGAAAAGACTCGTTATAAAAAGTTGTTATCCTATTACTTGATAGCGCTTTTGTTAGCCCTTCTTATGACATTTCGGGGGCTAATTGTAATTTCGAGGTTGTTCAATATCTTGATAAATTACAACATTCTTGTTGGGAAAAAGTGATGCTTGACAAGATCTTCGGATGTGAAAATGGCATAGTAGTTAAGAATAAATCATATGTTACCTGTTGTGCTTTGGTTGTTGAGGTATTTTGTACTTTAATTTTATCTCATGTCCCTGTGATGAATTTTTCTTTTGGTTTGATTTGGTACGTGTTCATGAGTTTTCTTTCAATTTTTTTTCTCGTGTTGGATATGATTTATGACAAAGTAGATGATGAGAACATCTGCCCCAAGCAAATGAGGGGGGTGGAGGGAGGGGGAATTGAACTACGGTTGAATAGGTTGTGAGCGAAAAGATAGGACGATGGAGCGCTAGCTAGGATATTTGGAGAAATGGAGAGGGTTTGTGATCCCAGTATGTCATTTAATGAGGAGACTCACATGCCACTAGTTGCATTTGCGGTGGAATCAGCCAGGAATCAAGGCAACTGCGTTTCCATTTAACTGCATCGAGGATATATTGTAAGAATATTCAGTGATCACTTTACCTAATCTTGTCTAAAGAATGAAGGCACACTACTTTGTAAGTTTTGTTTCGAAGACATAATTCATCCTATTTGGAAAATCATGTTCGATTGACCGCTTTTGTTTGAACTGTGGTCTAGATAAAAAACTTTATTGCATGGGTCATATCTTATGTCTAATACATTGTTCAGCCATGTAAACTCAGGGGAGTGAAGCATCAAATTTGGATTTGGCGCAAAAGTTGGGTGAAGTTAAACAAGAGAAGTAGTATACTTCTGTCCTCACCCCCTCGTATGGAGAATTAAGTAATTGCTTCCTTTTTCTTCTTCTTTAGAAGCGTATTAACAGCGTCATAGACTGCTGACAAAGAGAAAAGAAGGAAAGTAATGAACAGATAAAATAAGGAAGCAATTACTTTATTCTCCATGCGAGGGGGTGAAGAAGTGTACTACATCTCTTGTCTGACTTCACCCAACTTTAGCACCAAATCCAGATTTGATTCTTCACCTCCCTAAATTTACCTAGTAGAACAGTACATTAAACATAAGATAGAACCCATGCAATAAAGTGCATTTCTAGACCACACTTCACACTTTATACAGAATCGGTCAATCAAAACATGATTTTATTTAGATGATAAACTATTACTCAAATTCTACTTTAAAATAAATTTATAAAGTAGTGTGCCTTCATTCTTGAGACAAGATCAGGTAAACTGATCCCCTAATGTTATTGCAATATATATACATCCTATTTGCGCATTCCAAGATCGTCTCAAGCATTACTTTTGCCCAACAAGTATGTTCAAATTTATTAAGGTAATGAAAAAGCTCAAAATTACAATTAGCCCCCAAAATTTCATGAGAAGTACTAACAAAAAACGTTATCAAGTAATAGGATAACAACATTTTATAATCAATCTTTTCGTCTTCATTATTTACTATCATCTTATTTAAAACTAATAAAACTATTGGATTATTAATTTCCCTTTTGGACTTCGTGATGCCAATAGTACAAGTATACTTCTTGGCTATGTTATTATCCTTTTCTTTTTCCCCCTTTCATCAGGGGTGGCATGCTGGTCACACAAGTCAAAGTACCAGCTATGAACATTCAAGATTTATTGTTTTGTCTTTTACTTTAAATGATTTACTATTTACGTATGTGTGCAATGGAACGATTTGAGAATTTACCCTCTAACACAATATAAAATAATTAGCAAAACGCGATAATAAAAAAGACAATGTTTATGAGGAAATTTCCCTCTCCTCAAACAAAAACACGGTTTTATTAAGTTCCTACAAAATAACACAATAACCCTCTCGATGATTTTCCTCCTCAATAATATATAGGCTAACTTAGAAACCCACATCAATTTGGATATTTTACTTCCTCTCCAAGCCTAAATAATCCTAGATTGATTATATATACCTAAAATCAATCTAGTTTTCTAATTACAAATCCCATCTAATTAGGAAAGCATAAAAGATAGAAATAAAAAAAAAAAGATACATCATATCTTTTCCCAAAACAAATGGTAAGTTTAGTTTATTTCCTAACAGTCATAACTACTAATAAGGAACTTGAAAACAAGTTTAACAAATGTTTTTTTTTTTTTTCCCTTTTGTACTAAGCAGAGTAAAAAACAGAAAATTAGTCATGAGCGTTTTCTTCTGATATTTAAAATCAGATTCAAAATCCAAAGATGGGTCAGCATTCGTTCCTTGATTCATCATCTTGAAAGATAAGCTGTAATTAGAATTCAAAATAAGGTCTACAACTACAAACTTATACAATCATCATATATGACGAGAAAGCTCAAGGCGCAAAGTCAAAATTGTTCACATTTGATTATATTATATGGAAGGAATTAGAAACATATTCCAGAACCTAAGTGCAGAAAATGTAAATTTCAGCACCACACATGAACAACACAACTTCTGTTGGTTACACTTAGGTTCAAAAAGAATCTACTTAGAAGTGTCAAAACCATATCTAAAGTGAAACTAGTTTAAAAAGAACTTAAATTTTCAATTCCTTAACAATTTAAATGACCAAATCTTAAATCAGTGCAAGGAGGAACTAGAAAGAATCCAGGAATGCACCTCCCTCAACCGCTCAAGTACTTCGACTTACTAAAAGGCTGCTATGCAAGACTAAAATTTTGATTAATAAAATGTCGAAAGGAGTAATGAAGCAGGGACCCAAGAAGTCCCAGTCCACCTCTAAGAATGAACAGGCCACCTCCATAAAGTCCCAGGGGAGGCCTAGATGCTTAATCCTTGAAGAAGAGTAGGTACTTTTGGACAAAAAAATACCCAAATGTTGTACTTATTGTATTGATAATTAATTAAGTGTTAGATGACTAAAATTATTCTTAGAATGAGTCATATGCTACGGTAATTCTCTTAAGTATTGTCTCAAGTAACCGATACGGGTACGGCCCGTGTACTTATCGGGTACGACATTGGCAAATGAGGTACAACTAGTTAGGGCAGGTAGTACTGTCAAAAACCGAACCGATTCAAAACGATCCGAATGAGAACCGAACTGATTAAAAATCGAAAATCGATCCGAACCGCATTTTAGTAAACCCGAAACCGAACCGATCCGAGTAACGTTAAACCGTTTATGAACCGAACCAAATCTAAACCGAACTGAAAGGAAACTGAACCGAACCGTTTCTAATATAACCCGAAATCGTTTGAACTGACATAAAAACCGTTTACACCGAATCGTTAACAAACTGCAACCCGTTTACACCGAACCGTTTATATACCGAACCGTTTATAAACCGAACCGCTTATAAATCGAACCATTTATGAACCGAATCGCTTATAAATCGAACCGTTTACAAACCACTTACTACTAGG